CATTTTAAGCATCACCAATTTACACTTTCAACTGATTTTAAACTATTCAAGTGCAGCAGTAAGACGTAAAACAAACTTATTTCCTGCAAAAAAATACTGTATTGTGACATATTGTTCTGTTTTGGCTTAGTTTCTGTAATTATTTTCTGTTTTCCTAAGTTGACCTAAGGTGTGTTGAACTTGAAGAGTGGTGTGCAGACCGATCAGTGGATGACATCAACAAAATGTAATAAATTGATCAGATTGAAGTCGAATACCTGCCACCTCGCACTGGGCCCTGCGTCTGACCTCAATGGACTGAACAAAAGAGATGAACCACAGATGATTTACATGTCAAAAAGGCAAAGCCTTAACTATTATGTAATTCCCTTTGACCAATGGTAACCGTACATTCACTGTTTTTAACCAACATAGTCAGTATAGTGCATAGTGTACTGTGTTCAGTAAGTAGTAAGCTATTCCATTTCAAACATAGCTAGAAACAGATTACCACATTTCCAGGTCAAGGGTCACTCACTGCACTGGCACCATAAATAATATATGTCTGTCTATGACACAAGCCCACAACTCAAGGTCTGATGGAGGGCTCTTCTTATTCCATTCCCTCAGAGTATGTAATCATGTAAATATGAACAAAACCGACACAATTCCACTCAACCAGGGGGAATCAGGAGATGAGGTAAAGATTCTCCATAATTTCGTAAGAACATTGCTATATGTCAACAATGATCCATGAAAACAGCGGTTACACAACAGTCAATTTTCGACCTACAATTTCCTATAATTTACTGTCATATTTCATCTTATTCTTTTTCTTGATCATCATGGTGTTCCCAACTCCAATCTACTAAATGGCTTAAAGCCAGCGTTCATATTTTTAAGTTTAAATAACAACATCCTTCATATATACAGTATTTTGTATGACTGACTTCATTGCTTGTGAGAACACGCTGCAATAAACTCCCAATGGTGTTTTTTCGTGCATACAGTGGTATATGTATACTCTGAGGCTGCTATGTTTTATGGCCACAAGAGTAATTAACTTAATATAACTCACTGTTCATATTTCATACAAAGCTGCGTTTGATCTACTCGTTTGCAACATCAAAATGACTTGATTGAACAAAAGCTTTTTTTGTTTTTGAAGTTCAATAGTACATTACAGTAACCAGATAAAGTAAGTGGTTAAAATTGTATTAGCATTAACATCATCAACAATTCCATGTCAACAGCCAGCACTCTGGACCACTTCCAGGATTTTGCTCTCAGTGGCCACCTACTGTACATTCTCCACGTTTCCTAAATTACAAAATTGAAATGCGTGAGTGAACTGTAAATTATTGCTCTGGCTGCATCCAAATACACCTTATATTCCCTTATGTGTTCTATGCTACCTGAGTTCTCCATTGTTTTTCCTCCATGGGATGGTTTTGTTTGTAGTTTTGTATTATTTTGAGTTTGTACGTGGTTTGCCCACCATTAAATAATTCCTCTTCCACATCTCATGTTCTAATCATTTCGTGACAAAAACACCTAATATAAAATGTGACTGAAATACCAACCCCATCTCATGTCAAACACTGCAGTGTTTTTAACTACTTGGTAGGTACAATGTATTTATTGTGTACATGTCCTGTTCCCCATGTACCTACATACAATGTACTTATTACAGTAAATACCAGGAGTGCAACTTTTTTGGTCTGGTTCTCAAGGGAGCACCTGCAGATGCTGTTTAGTACTCACATTTATGCGGCACACTTATCCTACAAGCTGTTGTCATCCCTTTCCTGACTGCTCTCCTCACTATCTTCTTTTCTCACAAACATGGTACAGATGATTTTTAAAAATTGTATTAACATTTAATAAGTCTTCGTCGTCGGTTAGGAACCTAGGTGTGCTCTTTGATGCCAATCTTTCATTTGAAAGTCACATGTCTAGTATCTGTAAAACCACATTTTTCCATCTTAAAATGATTCAACACATTCTCACCCCAAGGCGTCACCTTTTGACGATGCTTCAATATTCAACGCTTAAGGCGCCGTTTAGCGTCAGTTACATGACACGATCCTACAGCGTCACCTAACTGACGCTAAAGGAAAAGCGTCAGTAGGGGTAGGGTTACACGTGATCCTAGGGTGTCATCTAACTGACGCTAAAGTGTCCCTAAAGCGTCAGATATTGAAGCATGGTCAAAATGCTTGGGTGAGAATGGGCTGAATTATTTCTAAATGACGTCATATGCTCTCATTGACAAATGCGTTCCGTTAGCTCATGCGTTCATGACATCAAGACTAGATTATTGTAATGCTCTACTGGGTGGTTGACCTGCACGCTTAATAAACAAACCATAGCTAGTGCAAAACGCAGCAGCTTGAGTTCTTACCAGAACCAGGAAGTATGACCATACTACCCTATCTCACGACCAATTCGTACGAGTGATTCAAAAGTGGCTAATTCGTACTAATTCATACGACCTCACTCGTACAAATTTGTACGATTTGTCTAAACCCACGTGACGGTTATGTTTAGGGGCGGGGTCAGGGGTAGGTCATTCGAACGAATTCATACGAATTGGCTAATTCGTAAAATATGTACGATTTAGCTAAATCGTACTAATTCGTACGAGTGAGGTCGTACAAATTGTTACGAATTAGCCACCTCGTAAAATTCGTACGAATTCCCGTGAGATCGGGTTGGACCATATTAGCCCGGTTCTGTCAACACTGCATTGGCTAACACAGTCTCATCCCAAGGCATCATACAACTGACGCTTTTGACCATACGTCAACATCCGCCGTTTTAGGGTACGATCCTGGGGCGTCATCCAACTGACGCTTTACCTTTAACGTCAGTTAGGTGACGGGGTAGGTTTAGGTCTGGGGTAGGGTTAGGATTACATAACGTCACCTAACCGACGCCTAAAACGGCGGATGTTGACGTATGGTCAAAAGCGTCAGTTGTATGACGTCTTGGGATTAGTCTGCGCTGCATTGGCTGCCTATTAAACATCGTTACATTTTAAAATATTGTTGATTACTTACAAAACACTAAATGGTTTAGCTCGGCAGTACTTGAGCGAGCTCTTAACGCATTATAGTCCTTCGCGTCTATTGCGATCTCAAAATTCCGGTCAGTTAATAATACCTAGAATATCAAAATCGACTGGTGGCGGTAGAACCTTTTCCTATTTAGCAAGAAAACTGTGGAATAGTCTATCTACCATTGTCCGGGAAGCAGACACACTCTGTCAGTTCAAAGCTCAATTAAAGACACATCTCTTTGCCCTTGTATACACATAATACATTATAGACTTCTATAATTCAATGTTAGGCTGCATAGATTAGGTCAGCCGGAACTGGGAACACTTCCCTTAAATCCTGATGTACTCGTTACAACATAAGGCATTTATCTTTGTTTATCTCAAGGTTTTCCCGCAGCCTGCCAGATCCAGGCTGTATCCAGATCTGACGAGGACCTTAGCCTGGACCCGATGACAGTGCAGTGTGGAAGTGCCAACTAGCCTCTCCCTATGAAGGATCCCTACAGATGAAGTTGTGAATTTCGTTTTGAAACAAAATTCGGTACTGTATCATATTTATATACAAGACAAGTAGTTTGTTCAGGCATGGTTTTGTAGGGAATTCCAAACCTGCGCACATATATTGAAACGCACATAACAATAGAATCAATTCTTAATGCGCATGTGAACGCATCAGCGTTTATCACAGGTTGAAAGTCTGTTTAGAGACATATACATTTTTACCTTACAGTTACTGTAAATCCGGCATCTAGTTCATAGCGCCAAAGGAGAACTGGCCCCTGACTGAGCCTGGGTTCTCCCAAGGTTTTTTTTTTTTTTTTCAATTGGGTCACCTGGTGGAGTTTTAGGACACCATTAGGTCACTTGATGGAGTTTTCCGGTTCCTTGCCATTGTTGGCTTTGGCTTGCTCAGTTGGGGATATTCAAATTAATTAACCAATCAGTAATACTCTTGATCAGCTCTACCAAACGTGGATGTTTTTCCACTAAGAAACGAACATTGTTATTATGTTTTGATTGATACTGTATAGCTGCTTTGATGCAATCTATATTGTGAAAGCGCTATATAAATATACTTGACTTGACTCAATTAGTACGCATTTTACGTGATGGGTAATTCCGTCGTCTTCATTTATAAAAATGGGCAGTCGGGTGTATTGCTGATTAACATGCTTTTCTATTACTATACGTTTTATTAACAAGGTTCTTATTGTATTTTCAAGTGCAAGTTTGTAATGGTATATGACAGGAAAGGAAGAATGGTGGTGGATGGTGAATGCTGATATGTATTGAATACAAAGGATGTGATGAGGTGAGAAGGGTAGTGGAGTCCAAAGGCTGATAGAGGAAGGTGCTGGAGACAGGGAGATCAGACCACATAACACAAACAAGGTCAGACCAGGAACAATGAGGATTGTGGCAGTGATGTGGGTGATGATGAGGTGCAGGTGTGTGTGGTTGTGAATGATGTGTAGCTGGGAACCAAGGAGCTAGCGTGCTGGGAAATGAAGTTAATAGGATGGTGGCCAGGGTGATCTGTGACAAAGTTCAGTTTATTGCTGCCTTGATTCAGTTTATAAAACACACTCATTTAGAGCCTAAATATAATTGTCCTTTTACATTAAATAATACTAAAATTCATTTACACCCTTTAATAAAAATGTTAAATAAATGTTAACGGTGAAGTGTGTAATTCCAAGCTCATAAATTGCACACTTCACCTTTAACATTTACTAGCAATGCAGGTGTGGCAGGAAGGGCGTTTCCGTCTTAATCTTTCATTATTATTGATGGCCGGTCTAGCCTATCATAGGTGCGCTTGGGCTTTAAAACAGTCACGTAGTTCTCACTCGTCAGGCGTCACGTTCGACTTGCGTCGTTAACGCGCTCTCGTCACTGCCTCCCGGAAACCGGATGTGAGCACCCGAACCGGTAAGGAGTATGCACTGTTGTTCTTTTTTTAGCTCTTGAAGTGTAGTCACGAGAAGTGTGTTCTTTTAATGTGCCCTTTTAGAAACACTGTTTTCTTTGGAGAGTGTGCTGCTGTCCTCTGCAGCACCAGCTCGTTACTGTTCATCATTGTTTACATGTACTGCGTGTATTGGATGTGGACGCTGGAGGAGGTAGGAAGAGTTCGCTGATCTCTCGCTAATCGTGCTCTTTTGAAATGCGTGTTTTTAAAGTGCTAGTTTGTATTTAAGGATGTGTCCTAATGAATACCCTGTCTCCGTGGTGAGAACCTGAGTTATTCTCCAGAGAAAGCTACGTTTCCTTCTCCCCGACGATCGGTACGTAGTAGTTTTGCGCATGCATTCAGTCGGAGAATTTATCTAGCAGAGTAACACTCTTGTTGTTTATAGGGCCCTGTTATAGCTCCGTAAAGGACTGTAACCACATTCAAGTTGGGGGCTCCGTGTTCATTTATGGCCGCAGTGCTGTCCTGTTTCAGTTATGTCCTAATCCCGTGTCGACTATATCAACTGTCATCTGATTCCATCGTATTTTGGACTTAAGTTGATATTTTCTTTAGTTTCTGTTTGCTTTCACAAAGTTTCCATTTTCTTTTGAATTGATATTAGTTGCAGAGATTGGTGTTAGAATTTGAGCCTTAATTCCTGCTCCTCTCTCAATTTAATTCATTTGGATTGTTTCTTATTGTTTTCTCATTTGTATTTGATTTTGCTTTTGGACTGTAATCCTTGTTCCTCTCTTGATCTAATTTATTTTCCTAATTGTTTTCTTCATTTGATTTTTGCTTCCAAAGTTGAGTTTTCTATTTTTCAATTATTTTGAAATAATCGCTTATTTCTTTGGCGTGGGGTATTTTGCTCCCACCTGCCTGAATAGTTTTTTTGATTAATAATTTTGACTGAAGTTTGGTTTATTTTCTTTAATTATTTCTTTATACATTTTGCTACTGTTGACATTTGGATTTAGTTTCAACTAACTGTTTATTTCAATATACTAATTGTAATTATTTTGGTTTCTTGATTTAGGTGTTAATAACCTTTCCAGCCATCAAAGTGTTTTTTTATTATTATTTTCTGAATCTGACGTGTACCTTTTGTGTGTGTGTTAGCAGGGCCTGAGTACCGGGGGCAGAGGATTCTTATTTGGGTGACGGTATCTTTTTCACCGTGTGCAGTGCTTGGAATTAACACCCCTGTGTGTGTGTGTGTGTGTGTGCGTGAGCACAGTGCAGTGGTTCTGCACCCGTCGGTGGTACGCTACGACTCCCTGCCTCGGTGTCTCTTGTCCTTGTTTAGACCTGCTGCTAAACCTCTAAGGGTTCATTGAATTTGGACAAAGTGTCCTATATCCTTTTTATACTGCTCATGTTTTAAGAATTGTCAATAAAACTGATTTTTTTTGTACGATAACTCATGTCTCTGACTCTTTTGGGTGATACGAACTTGTGTATGCCTTTTTGTAGGGGCTAATTTAAATTCTCTGGGTGAAATTCCCAGGGTGGCGTAGTCGGATTTCAATGATGTAATACCATTAATTATAATTCTTAAGGAACTCCCTTTACTGCTTTTGTGTCGCCCGCCACATTTTGGCGTATAGTCGGCAGGGTCACCATAACTTTGCGTCAGAGACATTGGTTTTTTTTGTTTTGTTTTTGTGTGTTTTGTCTGGTTTTTTTGAAACAGGACAGCAGTGCATTGTGCCTGAGTTGCTCCATTTGGTGACCTCTTCCTCGTGTGGTAAGTCTCTTCTTTAAAAATAAATCAATTAGCATTAAGATGGAGGAGGAATTACAAGAATTGAGAGATTTGGTAGCCCAGTTGAGAGCCGATAACGTAAGGTTGCAGCAGGCACAGGCACCAGTTGATTTGCCTGGTCCTGATGCAGCCTTGCCCGGTACCTCTACTGTTCCGCCTGTGACGCCTCAACCGCTTGGCGCTGTTGCGCCTGAACGATTTGTTTTTGTACCGCGAGATCGACGTTGCCCAAAATTCAATGGCAAATCGGGTTTGGATATTGACGAATGGGTTGAGGAGGCACAGGCGTGTATGAGGGTGCGCCATTTGTCAAAAGCAGATCAGGCTTTCTTCCTTTTTGACCACTTGGAGGGAGAGGCAAGAGAAGAGATCAAGTATCGTCCTGATCTAGAACGCGGAGACCCCGATAGGATTATTAAGGCGCTCCGTGATCTCTATGGGTGTTCACAATCTTATGTAGCATTACAAGAGGCCTTCTTTTCCAGGAAGCAACAGGAGGGTGAGACTCTGCTAGAGTTTTCTCTTGCGCTTATGGGCCTTTTGGAAAGGGTTAAGAGCCGGTCGCCACAAGTTATACAGAACGCAGAAACCTTGTTGCGGGACCAATTTGTCGAGCACGTCGCTGATAGCACCCTTAGGCGAGAACTGAAGCAGTTGGTTCGTCGCCAGCCTACTGCTACCTTATTGGAGGTTCGAGGTGAAGCAATTAGGTGGGTACAGGAGGGAATGCCGGGAGGGTCGAGAGGGCGTAGTCAGTCTGTCCCACTAGCATATGGTATTCAATATGGGGTACGTGGAGGGGCACCAGTTGAAATTGCTGTATCACCTCAGCAGTCAGAGTTGGGTGAATTGAGGGAAATGCTTCGGCAGCAACAGCAGCAGTTGAATCAGCTTACGCAAACCTTCGCTCGTTTCCAACTACCACATGTGCGTAGTCGTTCCCCTCGTTCTGGCCCAGTTATATGTAGGCGGTGTCAACGACCCGGCCATTTTGCTCGCGAGTGTGATGGGGAACGAAGTTTCCCAAACCCCCCACAGCCTATGACAAACCCTCCTACAGCTGGGAATAGACAGCCACGGGTCTCCAGACCGTCGGAAAACTAGTTCCCCCCAGGCCACAGAGTCACCGCCTGGGTGGGAAGGAAATTGACTCTAGCAAGATAGGTGTATGTAGCTCAGCTCCCCATTTAATCTCTTCTTGTCCACAGGTGGTTACCCAAATGGGGGGTGTCTTGGTGCCCTGCTTGGTGGATACTGGTTCTATGGTGACGACGATCACTGAAAGTTGTTTTCGACGACATTTTGAGCCATGGGGTCAGGATCGTCTTCAAAATTGTCAGTGGTTACAGCTTCGAGCAGCCAATGGGCTTACCATCCCGTACATAGGATACTTAGAGCTAGACGTGGAAATTTGTGGCAGGTTGGTCATTGGATGCGGTGTCCTGGTTGTCCGGGATCCTCCTGGTGGCATGAGTGTGGATGTTCCTGGGGTACTGGGGATGAACATTCTTGGCCGGTGTTATAAGGAGCTTTTCGGGCAGCATGGCATCTCTCTCTTTGACCTACCTGCAGTTACTGAATTACCAGGCGTGTCAAGTGCACTACAATATTGTCAGCAGGTAAGAGCTAGAGAGCACTTGGATCGAGTGGGGTGTGTGCGGGTGCGCGGACGTCGAGTGTGTCGCATACCAGGTGGCACAATTAAGCTAGTGGCTGCAACGTGTTCGGCCCAATATTTTGGCAGTACTGTTCTATTTGAGCCCCCTGAGTCCGGCCTCCCAGCTGGACTTTTAGCATCATCTGCTTTGGTAAGAGTAATTCAAGGGACCGTGTATGTGCCTGTAGTGAATGTTGGCACCGTGGATGTGACCCTTCGCCCTAGGACAGTGGTGGGTAATCTACATGAGGTTTATGTTGCCAGTTTGCCAACGGGAGTTGTTGAAGTAAAGCCAGTAATTTCCACTGTTCAGTCCCATAGCGTGCAGGGGAGCCCCTCCTTATCCCAACAGCTGGAGTCTCTTGATTTATCGGTTTTGTCAGAATCAGAACAGGCTCAGGTTAGAGCTCTGGTGCAGAAATATAAGGCAGTATTTTCAGGTCATGAGAACGATCTAGGTTGTACTCGCCTCATTTCCCATGACATTCCTTTACTGGACAACGTTCCAGTGCGTCAACGATATCGACGGATACCCCCTTCTGAATATGAGGTGGCAAAAACTCATATCCATCAGTTGTTGGAGGCTGGAATAATTCGCGAAAGTTGTAGCCCTTATGCATCACCGATTGTGCTAGTCAAAAAGAAGGACGGTAGTCTGCGTATGTGCGTAGACTACCGTCACCTGAATGCCAAGACTAGAAGGGATGCATTTCCCCTTCCTCGTATTGAGGAATCTTTGGACTCATTAGGAGGGGCTCGCTGGTTCTCTACCCTGGATCTGGCCAGCGGGTATTTGCAGGTTCCTGTTTCCGAGCAGGATAAGTCCAAAACTGCGTTCTGTACGCCGTTTGGATTATTTGAATGGAACCGTATGCCTTTTGGACTTTGCAACGCTCCAAGTACGTTCCAGAGGTTAATGGAGAGACTATTTGGTGATCAGCGGTGTCAGTCCTTGCTCCTATATCTTGATGATGTTGTTGTGTTTTCCTCCTCTGTAGCCCAACATCTAGAGAGATTGGAAATGGTCTTGAGTCGGTTGGAGAGGGAAGGACTCAAGGTAAAGCTGGAGAAGTGTGCTTTCTTCAGGCCAGAGGTCAAGTACTTGGGACATGTTATATCGGCGCAAGGGGTAGCCACCGATCCAGGTAAAATCGAGGCTGTTGCACAGTGGCGTTGCCCTGAGACTGTCTCTGAGTTACGAACATTCCTTGGCTTTGCGAGTTATTATAGGCGCTTTGTGGAGGGGTTTGCCAAATTGGCAGCCCCTCTGCATAAGCTAGTTGCCGAGGTGGGGGGAGGTAAGTCAGGCAAGCGACAAGGGCAGAGTTTGATTCCTGTCTGGACCGAACATTGTCAGACCGCATTTGAGGCCCTAAAAAGCAAGTTAACATCTACCCCAGTACTGGCTTACGCAGATTTTTCCAAACCCTTCATTTTAGAGGTAGACGCTAGTTATGGAGGGCTGGGGGCAATTCTGTCTCAAGAATTTGAAGGGAAAATCCGACCCATCGCATATGCCAGTCGCAGCCTAAGGCCCACTGAGCGTAATATGACCAATTACAGCTCAATGAAACTAGAGTTTGTAGCGCTCAAGTGGGCCATGGTTGAAAAATTCAGGGAATATCTTTTAGGGCACAAGTGTATTGTCTTTACAGATAATAATCCCTTAAGTCATTTGGCTACAGCAAAGCTCGGCGCTACAGAGCAACGTTGGGCTGCAGAGTTAGCTGCTTTTGATTTTGAAGTACGTTATAGGGCCGGAAGGAGCAATGGTAACGCCGACGCTCTCTCTCGCCAGCACCCAGTTGTTCGTGGTCCGCTTGAGGGTTTGGCGGCAGGTGTTGTAGTCCCTGAGTTGTTACAGCAGGCTGTTGGCATAGGAAATGTAGCACAGGCAGATGTGAGGGCAGTGAATGCGCTGCCAGGCTATTCCGCCCCTGACCTGCGATCTATGCAGGAGACTGATCCTGTTATAGGACCAGTAATAAAGTTTTGGGAGCAGGGCCGGCGCCCAGGACCTGAGGAGCGGCATCAGTTGAGTAAACCATGTTTGACCCTCCTCCAGCAATGGAATCGATTAGAGGCGAGGGAAGGATTGCTGTATCGGAAGATATTTCGTCCGGACGGAGGTGAGGAATGTTACCAATTAGTGTTGCCTGATGTTTTGAGGGAAGAGGTTTGGAGGCAGCTCCACGACCAACATGGGCATCAAGGGGTGGAGCGCACCAGTGAGTTGATTCGGCAGCGATGCTATTGGCCAAATATGTTGGCGGACATTACCCTTTGGTGCCAAGAATGTGAACGTTGTCAACTCGCCAAAGATAATCAGCCGGTAGCACGGGCTTTTATGGGCCATTTACTGGCTTCAAGGCCTAACGAAGTCCTGGCGATTGACTTTACTGTGCTTGAACCCTCACATTCTGGGCAGGAAAACATACTGGTGATGACTGATGTGTTTAGTAAATTTTCGATGGCGGTGCCTACACGAGATCAAAGAGCTGAGACCGTAGCCCAAGTTTTGGTTGAAGAGTGGTTTTACAAATTTGGCGTTCCGGGTAGAATTCATTCAGACCAGGGCCGGAACTTTGAATCAACTCTTATTCGGCAGCTTTGTGAGCTTTATCAGATAAAGAAGTCTCGTACCACTCCATACCACCCGGCCGGTAATGGGCAATGTGAGCGATTTAATCGCACTTTGCACAACTTGCTGCGAACATTGCCCGGCTCTAGGAAGAGGGACTGGGTGTCTTGTTTGTCACAAGTTATATTTTGTTATAACACCACCCCCCATCAAGCGACAGGTGAGTCACCTCACTATTTAATGTTTGGTCAAGAACCCCAGTTGCCAATAGACTTCCTACTTGGTAGAGTGCCTGAACCAGTTGCCGGAAACGTACACAGTTGGGTCATAGAACATCGTAGGCGGTTGCAGATTGCCTTTGAGGGAGCACGGGAGCGATTGAAGGCCGCAGCGGACCGTCGGAAGAGGCAACATGACCGCCGTGTTCGGGATCCGCCTTTGTCGGAAGGCCAGTTGGTCTATTTACGGGATCACGCAGTGCGGGGTCGCCACAAGATTCAGGACTTGTGGAGTCCTGTGACCTATCAGGTAATTCAGTCCCCAGAGGAGGGAGGTGCGGTGTATACTATTGCGCCGGCTTCAGATTTGGGCAAGGTACGGCGAGTGCATCGTTCTCTGTTGAAGGCTTGTGTCCGGAAGGACGTTTTGCTGGTCAATCAGCCTATGGGCATGGTAGAAGCTCAAGATGGCCCTCAAGAGTATGAATGGGCAGACGACGACGACTTGATGGTATTAGTGCCGGAGACTCCTCAGATTGTTCAGGGCATGGGACCTCGGGGTGTCGGACGCCCGGTACAGCTTGAGGTGCGGGAAGAACTAGGGCCAGCTGACCTACCTCCTGGTGGTGCGATTCTGAGGGAGTCAGAGGAGCGGGATGTGGAACCTCTAGTGACAGAAAGTGGTACTTTCCCCAGTTCCCATAATGAGAGGGTGGCCTCCCCTCGGCGCTCGCGTCGAGCCGGAGCAGGTCAACATCCGAATTTGCACCACCTCCCCCGGGCCGCTGGGGAGGTAAGGAACAGGGTATCCGGTGATTCTGGGATTGCAACCAACAGCATTTCAGCTTGGTTTAGGCCCTGGAGTTAGTAGGATGGAGGGGTGTCTTGATAATTGATCTTAGTCCATCGTCGGGGCGCCGATTCAGAATGGTGGGGTAGATGTGGCAGGAAGGGCGTTTCCGTCTTAATCTTTCATTATTATTGATGGCCGGTCTAGCCTATCATAGGTGCGCTTGGGCTTTAAAACAGTCACGTAGTTCTCACTCGTCAGGCGTCACGTTCGACTTGCGTCGTTAACGCGCTCTCGTCACTGCCTCCCGGAAACCGGATGTGAGCACCCGAACCGGTAAGGAGTATGCACTGTTGTTCTTTTTTTAGCTCTTGAAGTGTAGTCACGAGAAGTGTGTTCTTTTAATGTGCCCTTTTAGAAACACTGTTTTCTTTGGAGAGTGTGCTGCTGTCCTCTGCAGCACCAGCTCGTTACTGTTCATCATTGTTCACATGTACTGCGTGTATTGGATGTGGACGCTGGAGGAGGTAGGAAGAGTTCGCTGATCTCTCGCTAATCGTGCTCTTTTGAAATGCGTGTTTTTAAAGTGCTAGTTTGTATTTAAGGATGTGTCCTAATGAATACCCTGTCTCCGTGGTGAGAACCTGAGTTATTCTCCAGAGAAAGCTACGTTTCCTTCTCCCCGACGATCGGTACGTAGTAGTTTTGCGCATGCATTCAGTCGGAGAATTTATCTAGCAGAGTAACACTCTTGTTGTTTATAGGGCCCTGTTATAGCTCCGTAAAGGACTGTAACCACATTCAAGTTGGGGGCTCCGTGTTCATTTATGGCCGCAGTGCTGTCCTGTTTCAGTTATGTCCTAATCCCGTGTCGACTATATCAACTGTCATCTGATTCCATCGTATTTTGGACTTAAGTTGATATTTTCTTTAGTTTCTGTTTGCTTTCACAAAGTTTCCATTTTCTTTTGAATTGATATTAGTTGCAGAGATTGGTGTTAGAATTTGAGCCTTAATTCCTGCTCCTCTCTCAATTTAATTCATTTGGATTGTTTCTTATTGTTTTCTCATTTGTATTTGATTTTGCTTTTGGACTGTAATCCTTGTTCCTCTCTTGATCTAATTTATTTTCCTAATTGTTTTCTTCATTTGATTTTTGCTTCCAAAGTTGAGTTTTCTATTTTTCAATTATTTTGAAATAATCGCTTATTTCTTTGGCGTGGGGTATTTTGCTCCCACCTGCCTGAATTGTTTTTTTGATTAATAATTTTGACTGAAGTTTGGTTTATTTTCTTTAATTATTTCTTTATACATTTTGCTACTGTTGACATTTGGATTTAGTTTCAACTAACTGTTTATTTCAATATACTAATTGTAATTATTTTGGTTTCTTGATTTAGGTGTTAATAACCTTTCCAGCCATCAAAGTGTTTTTTTATTATTATTTTCTGAATCTGACGTGTACCTTTTGTGTGTGTGTTAGCAGGGCCTGAGTACCGGGGGCAGAGGATTCTTATTTGGGTGACGGTATCTTTTTCACCGTGTGCAGTGCTTGGAATTAACACCCCTGTGTGTGTGTGTGTGTGTGTGTGTGTGCGTGAGCACAGTGCAGTGGTTCTGCACCCGTCGGTGGTACGCTACGACTCCCTGCCTCGGTGTCTCTTGTCCTTGTTTAGACCTGCTGCTAAACCTCTAAGGGTTCATTGAATTTGGACAAAGTGTCCTATATCCTTTTTATACTGCTCATGTTTTAAGAATTGTCAATAAAACTGATTTTTTTTGTACGATAACTCATGTCTCTGACTCTTTTGGGTGATACGAACTTGTGTATGCCTTTTTGTAGGGGCTAATTTAAATTCTCTGGGTGAAATTCCCAGGGTGGCGTAGTCGGATTTCAATGATGTAATACCATTAATTATAATTCTTAAGGAACTCCCTTTACTGCTTTTGTGTCGCCCGCCACACAGGTTTGTAGCAAAATGAAATCCCAAAGCTCTAAATAAGGATTTCTGATTTGGTTTATTAGCTGTAATTTACCAGCTGGTATAATCTGCATTTTCCGTATGTAGTATCTTTATACTTTGATACGATGAAGCTCTGTATCGACCTTTTCATTAACCTTTTATAAACTGAGCTCCTTCAGAGACTTTAAACAGGTTTGGGCACGTTAGGGATGAAAATGAGAAGCATTGATCAGGAGGAGACAGGATACAGTAAAAGAAAATCTTGGTATATTTGCATACAAGCCGGAATACTGAGAATCATATTAAACAGTAGAGAGGATGCCAGTTTAGCTAATATTATTTGCAGATACGTTTCGCATCAAAGTTCTCCCCTTTTGATTAACATCATATTTCATCAACTTCAACCTTATTGGGAATGCAGCTGAGTCTAAACATTGCCAATGGCTGTTGGATTATGATCATCTCTTATTGCCTTTCTGCTCATGAATATCCAATGAAATACTAAAAAAAAACACAAAAAAAAAAAACACTGAATGAATAAAACTGATCGTCTTCCGAGCCAGTCTCTCCCTGCATGGGGTGGTGAGAGGGGATTTCTCTTGTGCTTTGCTGTTTGTCTGTGATTACTGTCTTGCAGGTGGTCAGCCATCCAGTGAGCAGAAATGGCTGGGAGGCTAATTGTTCTCTTCTGCCCCCTGATGACCAGGCAGTGTGTTTCCTTCCCGCATTTGCATTTCTATTTATTTAAGCCCTAAATCCTCTTCATTCCAGAGAAACCAGCACTGCCTCATAACTGCATTGTGCTAAAAACATTTACTGGATCTGTTCGTTGAGATGAGATATTTCATAAAAGCGTGAATTAAGAAATTGAAGGGAAACATAGTCTTGGGGTCTCACCCAAAATTCACCCATATTCACTTCCTGTCTTCAGTGGATGAAAAATGAGATGTTTTGAAAAATGTTCACACTATTCTTTTCCATACAATGAATGAGGATGGCGATTATAGACCATTTCACAAGATGTAAACAACACTGGTCCAGAAGCACTTCCTGTTTCAGTTTGTAACTGTTTTCTTTATTTCACATGTAAAGAAAACATCTTAAAGATGTTTGTTTAACTTTTTGATTCAGTTTTATATGTTCTGTTGGTTGTATTTCATCCCAGCTTTTATGTAGCGTTAAAAAACTGAAACAGGAAGTGCTTCTGGACCAGTGTTGTTTACATCTTGCAAAATTGTCTATATAATTATTGTATAATTGTTTAATTGTTAATTTAATTGTCAAAATTATATAATTGTTTTTAAATACCTACTCAAGCAACTGGCTGTGAAATTAACAGTAATTAACTGGCCACAAGTGACAAGTAACTTACTTTAAAATAAAAACAATAATTAACTGGCACCAAGTGATGAGTAACTTAATGTAAAAATTGTGGCGAGCAGGACGAGGCAGAGGACCGCGGAGGAACGGCGCGAGGCCGGTGGCGTGATTGATGATGAGCGACTCATATTTCTTATGGAGAAGTGGAAGCATAAAAGGAGGAGCGACAACAGTGGAGAACAGGCCTGGACTGTTTTATTATATGTGACAACAGTCGTCCATGAAGGGGCTGCTGTCTTTTACTTTCATTTTGTATTTGCTTTATTTTATGTCATTAAAGTCTTTGAATGTTTGTCAGTTTCCACCTCCTTCTTCCCACAACATCTGAACTGAGTAACAAAAATGAAGAGTTCAGATGCAAAAGCCTTTAAGTGCCATTTGAAATTTTCTTCTAAAATGATCATTTTTATCAAGCTTGTATATTTAAGTTCAGTAATTTCACTTAAATGGCAATGAAGATTACCTATTAATTGTCATTTAAGTGAAATTACTTTACTTAAATATAAAAGCTTGATAAAAATGGTCATTTTAGAAGAAAATTTCAAATGGCATTTAGAGGCTTTTGCATGTGAACTCTTCAAATATTAAAAGTAATTAACTGGCAGCAATTGTCAAATCTCAGAGATTAGACTAGGTAGGCATCAATGTTTTATTAGACCAAAGGTTCATTTTGCACCGGAGTTATCCTTTAACCCATCCACTCTTAAAAATAAGATAGCTATCTGTACTTTTGTATGCTTTCATTTTTTTGTGCGGTGTAAGGTGACGAATTCTCTATAAAATATATGTAAATATCTCCAAACTCCAAGTCTGGTAGAGACTTTACCAGCCTCAAAGCAATGAAAACATCAGCAGGTGCTGTGTATGGATCACACGTTCCGAGTATATTAACCTTTTCTTGATGGTAAATGGACTGCATTTATATAGCGCTTTCATAGACCTGATGGCCACCAAAGCGCTTTATATTTGCCTCACATTCACCCATTCATACACTGACAGCGGTGTCAGCCATACAAGGCGCCAGCCAGCTCGTCGGGAGCAGCTGGGGTTAGGTGTCTTGCTCATGGACTCCTCGACACTTGGTCAGGTGGAACCGAGGATTGAACCACCAACCTTTCGGTTTCTAGACAATGATATCTAATATCTAATTGATATCTAAATTTAACATTCGGTGACAAATGGTCTAAATCGGTAATTGACTGTAGTATTGGAAATTTGCAAGGCTGCAATTCCCCAGGCTGGCCACTGTTTGTCGCCATTTTTTCAGTGTTTTTGCCCAACAGGTATCCATTGGTAGTCCCATGACTGCAAAGTGTGAATTGTACTGTGTTGTCCATCTCTATATAATTAATAGGTTCCTGTGATTTTCTCCAGTACCCAATTGGTTATCATCTTCTCTTGCGATAGGTTCTCTCGGCGTATTGTGTAAGTTGCATACGCTATGGGTATAGTCATCTTTTCTCGGGGTCTGAAGCCAAAAAATTATCCTTAATTTTTTATTTATTGTCAATGCAGTGTGGCGGACAGCAGACCATAGCAGGCTGTATATGCCTGCTTATTGGCTGTCCTGCAGCAACTGCAGCAGCCTATCGTGAGCCCTGTGTGATGTCACGCCCAATGAGGGCGCTGTGCACCCTCAGCGCAGTCTCTTTTGACCATACGTCAATATCCGCCTTTTTAGGGCCCCCTTAAACGTTGGTAGATGACGTTATCGGATCCTAACCCTACCCCAGACCTAAACCTAACCCTAAACCTACCCCGTCACCTAACTGACGTTAAAGGTAAAGCGTCAGTTGTATGACGGCCCGGGATCGTCATGTAACCGACGTTTAAGGGTACCCTAAAAAGGCGGATATTGACGTATGGTCAAAAGACGTCCCAAGACGTCAGTTATATGAAATATGAAAATGGGAGTGGCTAGTGAATATAAAGAGGGGCTCAACAGTCTGAGCTCTGATTTTCATCTCTTCAGTGAAACTCTTCGCATCACTGGATCTTGGGAAGCCACCCTCGTTGAAGAAAGCGACCAGCAAGCTTAGGAAGCGTCTGGAGAAGCCGGCTGCCTTCGCTGCCTTCAGCCATCCTTGCCTGCTACGATTTCCGGCAACAAAGAGTATCCTTTTTCTTCTCTGCTGTTTGTGTTTGCCGCCGCAACACACATTTAAAAAAAAAAACATGAGGCGTTTTTGTCAAAATGCCTCACTCTTCCTCACTTTCATGCCGAGCCCCGCTCAGCACTGGAGACCGCCATCTCATCTACGCTCTCTATTTGGGCCGTGAGCATGCAGCCATTGCACACTCTTAGGGCGGCTACCCTGAGTGCGAAGATCTTTCAATGTCGACCCTGCAGGCTCAACCTGAGATCTTCAATGATGATGCAGCCACTGGACAAGCCACCTCAGCCTTGAGCTCCATGGTAGTACTACAGATCCTCCAAGCTAGAACATGTGCTCATGATCCCGTGCCCACATCTACTCACTTCCCGCTCTGTTTCAGATCCCAGAGGCCATTCTGCCCCTAGCCCTGCATGCAAAAGCATGGGAAGCTATTCCAGGCGTGTAAATGGGTGCTGAGCACAGTAAAGCAGGGCTATGCACTGCAATTCGCTCGCCGCCCCCCACGCTTTTCAGCATGAACCAAGATGAGAGTGAATGGGGAAGTAGCACACCTACTTCGTGCAGAAATAGCTAAACTTCTGTGCAAGCTGTCCATAGAACCAGTACCTCCTTCGTTGAGCGAGTCAGGCTTTTAGAGCCGTTACTCGTACCCAGGAAGGACGGAGCCCTCAGATCAATTTTAGATTTGAGATATTTGAACAATCTTATGAGAAGACCATTCAAAATGCTCACGACCAGACAAATCCTTGTGCAAATTCGCCACAGAGACTGGTTTATCTCCCTCGACCTGAAAGACGCATACTTTCAGATTTAGATAATACCCTGTCACAGGCCATTCTTGAGATTCGCCTTCGATGGTCAAATATATCAGTACACCATCCTGCCGTTCGTCCTGTCTTTAGCACCCCGTACTTTCACAAAGTGCATGGACACGACTCTCGCTCCACTGAGAGGTCAGGGCATGCGAATTTGCGTGACAGCGCGCACGTGGTCAGACCAGGAGAAATGCCTTCATATAAACTGTCTGGAGATGATAGTGGTCAAGAACGCTCTGAATCGCTTGCTCCCACACTTACGGGGCCACCATGTTCTAGGCCGCTCGGACAACCTGTCTGTGGTGTCCTACATAAATCACCAAGGCGGTGTCAGATCCCGGAATCTCTGCAGACTGTCGGAACACCTTCTCGTGTGGGCCCATCGCTCGCTGAGAGCCGCTCATGTACCTGGCCATAAAAACATCTGCCCAGACAGACTCTCCAGGGACAACATTCCCTCGAG